GTCATGTGAAAATTTAAATAAAAACTACTGCATATATTGCAGCTTACCAATCCATAGATATGGTGGCTGCATTATTAATTTTAGGGTTTTGTTCCTTTATTTTCACTTTGGTGATCCATCCAGTAACACACTTCCTGTCTCAGGGTTGCTCCATTCTATGGAGAAGCAATGGAGCCACCCTTGGACAGTAGCATTGTCACCCTGTGGAGAGGGTTGTTACATACACTAAACGATTTAGATGGACTTGACTAACAAATTAAAGCCAAACTCTAGCTAACAGTTTTTAAGCAGTTACAGTTTTTTCTTTTCTTTTCCCATAAAGGTTTTACAACTCTGAGGAAAAGCTGACCATTCTAAGCAAAGTGGTTTGGCTCAACCCTCTAACTGCCATTTAAGCTGGACAGCTTTGCCTGATAAACTAAGTTTAATTAAATAACAGTCTTGGATCACCAGGTGAAGATAAAGGAAAAAAAAGAAAACAATTTCAGCCACCACATCTACGAATTGGTAAACTGCAATATATTAAATTTTTGCTTTCAATTTAGATATACTTTAACTGACTGCAGAAGTCACTCTTTTGATTTCTCAAAGGTTGCAAGAAACACAGATGAGTATTTACATTCTATATAAATATGCTATATGCATGTCCAATCTGCAAATATCATTTAATCAATATGCACTTAAAACATACTGAGAATAAAACTGAAAAGTTTTGGCATGAAAACAATATCCTATCATGAAAGAATATGATAAAATAGATCAACTGCTTAGGTGCAGAACCAAGGGTTAACTGAGAGAAGTGCGGTATCTTCAAACAACTAGAAGCCTTGTCTGCTGAGTGATATTGAAGTGAGCAGGCAGGCAACTGGGATGTAACAGTCCTAATGACAGTCTTGGTATGTATCAGCTGAGCTAAATTAGATGAATGCATTTAACTTTTTTCTTTTTGTAAGTAACAAGGAAACAAAGATTGAAATTAAAGTATAATGCAGTATTTTTAGTCCAACCACCGTAACTCAGCATTTCCCATTGTGCCTTTGCTCGTTTTAGAGTCCTTCTGAAAAGGAAGCCACTGGCACACATCTGCAACTATACCCAGCATACTTCAAACTTTTGTAAAGCAATTTTTGCTGTGATTGTAATATATTTCTCATCCAGCAACATCAAATGTTGGGTATACTGTATTTCTATATTTGCTTACCAGGCACTCCAGAATGGTAATCATTTTGTGGCATTGAACTCTCATTTTCTTGAAACATGGTTTTGCCATCTAGATCATGTCTGGAAACTGGTCCTGGGCAGCCTACCTACCTAAAAAATGTTGTTTGTGAAGCTAGCTGAGGATCAATAACCTCTGCTTGCATTATTGTGCTGTTGGCACATAGCCATATGACTTGTCAACTGTCATTTTTT